TTTTTTATTTTTTAGGTTAAATGGGTTTGGGTTTGAGTAATTGTGGGTTTGGGGTTTTAAGTAATTTTTGGTTTTTGGGATTTTGGGCTTGGGTAGTTGGTAGGCTTTGGATTTTGGTGGGTTTTGGGTAATTGGGTTTGAGTTTGGGTTTTGGTTTGGGTTTGATGGGTTTTAGGCTAGACTTTGCATTTCACCCCTCCAACTTTTCATCTCTTCAATTAAGTCCCTTCCTTCATCTTCAATCTTCTTCGTAAAATTTCCTTTTTGCCCCCCCTTTTTTCTTGAATGAACCTAACAAGTAAACAAAGACAAAACATAATAGTTAAAACAAAAAATAAAAATAATATAATATTTTACTAAAATTTGAGTTATGACAAGGCCAATAGTACCCTTGTCGAAGTACCTTATGTGCTAGAGTCCGGGCTCCCACGTGACTTCCACATACCCCCTCGTGTACTTCTTTTAGTGCATACTCTGCTTCATATGGTGTCAAGCATTTGAGAAGAGGTAACGAGTAGGACCTCTTGTACAGAATGTCGCCAACCAGGGTGTACCGAGAGACTTTTCTTCGCAACTTCATCTCTTCCTGTTTGTCCCCCGGGATGGTACCATTGAGGATGTACTCCCGGATGGGGTCTGTCCAACTCGGAGCATCTGGGTCAGTGCTGATCTCCATCACCCCCGACGTCTGGAAGCTTGGTTCATTCAGTATCTCGATGTACATAGACTTTGCTTCCCGGGAGTTCTCAGATGCTAACTTCGACAAAGAATCTGCATGCTCATTTTCTGCTCTAGGAATCTTTGTAAGCTGGAATTTCTCGAAACGATTTTTCAGCTAAGAGACTGTGGCCACATACTTTTCGAGGATGGGATCAATGACTTCGCACATAGAATTGATTTAGTTAACTACCAACTGTGAGTCACTATAAATCTGCAGGCGTTTGACTTTGAGCTCGGCCGCCAAACGCATTCCCAAGAGGAGGGCTTCGTACTCAGCCACGTTGTTTGTGGCCTCGAAGTTGAACTTCAAAGCGTGTCCACTCCAGAAGCTGTCATGTCCAGTTAATACTGCTCCAGCTCCTTAACCCTTGCTATTAGATGATCCATCGACATACAGGGTCCATGTTTCCGCCTCAGAATTCGATTCCACTTGATTAGAAGCGTATTCGACCACGAAATCTGCCAAAGCTTGAGCTCAGATTGCCGACCTTTGCTGGAATGCTATCTGAAACTCTCCCAGCTCTACTGCCCATTTAATGAGTCTCCCGGAGCATTCTGGTTTCTGCAAAATTTGTCTTAAAGGCTGATCAGTCATCACAATAATAGGATGGGATTGGAAGTATGGCCTCAACTTCCTTGCAGTAACAATAACTGCTAGGGCTGCCTTCTCTACTATTGGGTACCTCTGCTCAGCTCCCTGCAGCACCTTACTGCATAGTATACTGGTTGCTGTTGTTTCCCCATTTCCCTGACCAAGACAAAACTGATAGCGGTATCAGATACTCCGAGGTAAATATAAAGGATTTCACCTTCCTAAGCCTTAGTCAGCAGAGGCG